ATACCTATTTTTGATGGTAATCTTGTTGAGTCCTTGATAATCTACACACATCTATAGAGATCCATCTTTCTTCTTCTCAAATAAGATAGGAGCCTCAGCTAGAAATTTAAAATAGCATATGAAGTTTTTTGCCAAATTCTCATCAATATACTCTTTTAATGCATCCAACTCATTCTGCAATAAGCTATAGATTGGTCCAAATGGAGGTTGAGCTCTTTCTTGTAAATCAATTGAACAATCATAAGGTCGATGCTCTAAAAAAATATTTACATTCTTCTTTTCAAAAATATCTTGAAATTCTTAAGATTAGTTAGGAATACCACTTGACGTTTTTCTACCATTAGAAATGGGCATAGCATATATAGCAAAAGATGATCGTTCTTTTGTAGCATGCACGAAAGCTCTCGCACATATCATTAAAAGTTTGGATGTACTAAACTTATGTATTTTAACTTCATTAATTTGATCTTCAGTTATACTATAAAAAAAGTTCAGATTACAAAAAATCTAATCTATTTGAGGATTATATTTTTCTAACCACAATAATCTTAAATTAATCAGATTGGAGGAAAATTTTATTATATTAAATACTACTATGCTGTTGTGATCTTTAATTGCTATATCTAAAAGAACAGTTTCATCTGTAATATTTCCAAAAGACAACAAATGACCATCCATGACCTCTACATATATGAGTTTAGTATTCTTGACTAAAGGTATTTTTTGATTTTTGACAAAATTTTCATCTATAAAACAAGCTAAGGCTCTTGAATCTAATAAGACAAAGACTTTGTGATTTTTAGGTCCTAAACACACATCTATTGTAAAACAAGGTAAAGGGTTCAATGAGAGAATAAGACCTTTATGAGGTGTTACACATGATTCTAGCCGCATTGTTCCTATTATAGCTAGAGAAACTTGTTTTCCAACACATTATCTTCTTTGGTAATTGTGCTCTTCATTATGTAATTATATTACTTTTTTGGATAATATTGAGTACTGTGGTTATCTTCTCCACAATATAAGCATGAGTCCTTTTGACATTGTTGACTCTTTTCCTGCTTTATGAAGGATTTAAAACTTATTATATCAATTTTTATTAGTTATGGCCTTGTTAAATAAGTTTCTAAAAACTTAGGAGTTGCTATCATTATTTAATTTTTTTCTCTTCAATCAAGTCTTTGTTCTTGTCACCTTTCAAATAATTATCATTATTTAATTTTTTTCTCTTCAATCAAGTCTTTGTTCTTGTCACCTTTCAAATAATTATCATTATTTAATTTTTTTCTCTTCAATCAAGTCTTTGTTCTTGTCACCTTTCAAATAATCGATTGTTGTATGCAATGGCTTGAGCAATAAATTGTTCTAAAGATTTTATTTTTGATATTGTTTATAATAAATCTTTGATGCTATTCTTCAATCCATATCAAAATTGATTAATAAGTGCTTTGTTATTCTAGTCCACGTCGCAAGCAAGGTTTTGGAATTAAGCAGCATATATGGTGGTTGATCGTGATCCTTGTCGTAAAGATAAGATTTTAGTCTCTGCTACTCTTTTTTGATTATTTTCTTTGAATGTGGCCATAAACACTTTAAGAATGAATTTAAATCATAAAAAAGTTGTGAATCCTTTTTCATCAAAGGTGCAAACTAAAAAAAAACACTTCCAGATAGAAATGTGCCTATGAAGTTGACTTGAGTAAATCCATTTGCATATTGAAAAGGATGTAATTTTAAGTAGAGCTTAACTTGTTGTAAAAATCCTCAAAATTTTGATCTTATTCCATCAAACTTCTTGGGCATACTAATTCTTACCTCTCTTAAGCTTGTAGAAGGAAGACCATGTAAATTTGGTTGTGAGGCTGATTGACTTCTCTCTTTCAAGTATACAACTTCTTGATGTAGACTCTAGACTTCTTCTATAGGTATAGAAATAGTGCTCTTATGGTTGGCATTAGTAATGTGTGAAATTTCTGCCCTAAGAGTATAAATAAGCTTGTGAAGATCCGCAATAGTTTCAAATCTATTCTCACTTCCATTAGGAGTAGCATCCATAATCTTTCTTTCTATAGACAACTCAAAAAAATCCAAAAAGTTAAATTAGAGGAGGGTAACTTGCAATCTCTAAAAAAAAAATTCACAAAGAAGGATAATCTACTTTCTTTAAAGAAAAGATCAATATTAGAAAACAAGATTTTTTGTTTAAAAGTGTATAGTCCGTAACCTTCAATACATAATAATAGAAGTGGATTAATCCACTTACTTCTAAAATAATATAAAAATAGTATGTTAAGATTCTTATCAAACTATCAACGACATGAATCTTAAAGAAAGAAAATCCTCAATATACTCTTGTGTCACTGAAAGGAACTAAAAAATCACTCAAAGATGATATAGTATTGAACTAAAATGACTATTATAAAAAATAAGAAGATTAGAAGGACTTGAAATAAGAGTAAGGACTAGAAAGACATTGATAAGAATGAAGAAGGCTTCACTCTTGATTTGATATATACCTTTAATTAGAAGTTACGTAGCAATGTCCTGTAGGATCTCCAAAACGTATTGACTTTGCTAGCCACATGTTTTAACTTGCAAAGCAAGTTATCTATGTATGTGCCATATAGTTAGCTTATTCCACAAGCTACTATATGGAGTTAACTTTTTCTATAAGCTACTACATGGAGTTAACTTTTTCTATAAGCTACTACATGGAATTAACTTTTTCTATAAGCTATTACATGAAGTTAACTTTTTCCACAAGCTACCAATACATAGTTAACTTGTTAGCAAAGTTTCTATTCTACAAATACATCTAAAGTCAAAACTGCATCTATGAAGCTTTTAAGAAGCTTCTCTAGAAGACTGTATGAAATTAATCTATATTTACCTACTTCTACCTAATCATATAAGTAACTATTGAAATAAATGCATATATTTGTGACAGATATTTATTTAAGTTCAAAAACTTATCATCATAGACCTTTTGGATTTTTTCAGCGATTACCTATTTTGGAAAAATCTTTATCTTTTATTTTTATGGATTTTATTATAGATCTTCAAGTCTCAAGTTTATATGATTCTATATTAGTGATAGATCATTTTTATCAAAATGGCACATTTTGTATCATATGTAAAATTTATCAGACGTAAAGAAATGGCTAAATTTTTTCTTAATAATATCTATCGCTATTATAGATTATCCAAAGATATTATATTAAATAAAGAGATTCAATTTATATCAAGATTTTAAAGAATCCTTTTCAAGATTCTAAAGGTGGATATAAAACTTTTTTTGGCTTTTCATCTTCATATTGATGGACAAACAAAATGGATGAATCAAGTTTTAGAATAATATTTGTTGTCTACCATCAATTATCATCAAGATTGTTGAATAATATTTTTTCCATTAGCAAAGTTTGCATACAATAATTTGGTATATTCTTCTACTCAATAAACACCTTTCTTTGTCAATTATGATTATCATCCACAATTTGATACTTTTGACTTTTCAAAAGTTGATAATCTTGTGGTAGAAGATTTAGCATATTATTTATTAAAGCTACATGCAATAATGAAGGTATTGTCATGGACATACTCATGTAAGCTAGTAATTACATATACAAATAGGTGGAAGTAAGTAAAAGTAAATAAAAGTAAATAAAAATAGGTAAAAGTAAGTTAATTCTATAATATTTAATATGGAAGCTTCCTAGAAGCTTTATAGACACTGCTTTGACTTCATAGGTGTCTTTAATTGACTTTTTGGATTAGAAACGTAGTCAACAAGTTGGCCATGTGCCGCACATATTGTTAGCTTGAAGATCAAGCTAACTATGTGGCTTACACGTAGAAAAACTTGCCTTGTAAGTCAAGGCATGTGTCCTACAAAGTCAATACATATTGAAGGTCCTACAAAACGTCGCCACGTAGCCCCTAGTTAGATAGTATATATAGAGACAAGAGTGAAGCCTTCTTCACTCTTATCAATTCCTTTCTTGCTTCCAGTTTAGTTTCAAGGGTCTCTAGTTTGCTTGTCTTTTGGCAATAGCCATTCCAGTTTCTCTTTCAATATACATACTTGTTTATTTATATTTTGTTACCTTTCTTTGAGTGAAGGCTCACTTGTCTAAATTGCTTTTTTATCGAGTTCTTGTCCTTGACATGTATAATTAAAGAAAGCTCAAGAACAACAAAAGATCAATATAGATGCCTATCACAAGGAACAACCACAATTCAATATAGGTGACAAGATATAGCTACTTTGTTGTAATGTTAAGACTACTTGTCTTTGTGACAAGTTGGATTATTGTAAGCTTATACCTTTTTTTTATATTTATAAAGAAGTCAATCTTATTGCTTATTGATTACATCTATCGAAATCTATGATGATCCATCTTGAATTCCATGTAATTCTTCTTAAGCCATATAAGATAGTGAATATCTCCAGAAGTAGATAAATGCTACCTCTTCCCATAGAAGTGAATAATGATAAGAGTTTGAGGTTGAAAAAGTCTTAGATTTAAGGTGACATCGAAATAGATTGAAATATCTTGTTCATTAGTATAGATGTGATATTAGTAAATGCATATGGAAGCCAACAAAGAATCTTACAAATGCAACAAACAAGGTTGAAGCTTTTTGTGAACTAAAAGAAGTCTCCACTAATTGGAAGTTTATTCTAATTCACAACAAGTGAATTAAATTTTAATCAACTCACTCTTATTTCTATTAATTAATTCCAAGAAATGAAGCCAAAGTTTTTTTATCAACTTACATTTATAATTAATAAGTACTTGAAAAATTATTTGAAATAAAAGATCCTTATTAATATGATTTTATCTTTCATTTTTTTAAAAAATATTTCATTTTATTTTATTTTTTATTTAATTAAAATTCAATTATTGACGAAAATTCATCCTTTATTTAATTAAAATTCAATTGTTGAAGAAAATTCATCCTTGCATAATTATTCATCCAAATATGACGATTCATCCAAGTAAGAGAATTCATCTAATTAATTTCATCTAATTCAAAATTTTCATTCAACTTCAATTGTTCATCCAAATTATACTAATGTAATCCCAAACCTAACTCATCCAATCCGAAACTAACTTCTGTCGACTCTAACCTAAGTCGTCTAATAAAAAAATTAAAATTTTCTACCTTTATCCATCCCGGAGTGCACAAGTCGACAAGAAAGAGGTCTATTGCAGCCCAATTCCACCCTTCTAGCGCTCCACTTCCACTAAGATGAATTGTCAAATTCTGTTCTTCTGTAGAGTTGCGCTTATACACCGAAATTGAGTAGGCTATCAACGAGCGCGTTCAATTAAACTTTATCCAAACTCAGTCTCAAAAAAATCAACTTCCTACATCAGGTCCCTCACGATCTATTGTTCATGATCATCTACCATCGAAGAATTGCTTTCCATCGAGTACTTTCTGAACCTCTGGAACTTGTCAACAATCCGAGCCACCAACCACCAAACTCCAGCCGCCGTTGTTGAATCTTTGCTCGACGCTGATGTACAGCAGCCCAGGAGCAATGCCCGCAACAGCTAGTGGTGAAGATGTTCGGCCGTATTCCACCGCAAGTGGCCTCGCACCATAGAAAAAAATACCATTAATAGTACCAAGAGCTCTTGACCGCTGCACTTCCACCTGACTCCTAGTCTAGTCGCACTGCTCCAAACCGAACGAGCACCAACACCAAATCTGCTTGAGGTCGAGGATTCAAAGGCGATGGAGAACGAATGGGGGAAAAACTACTGCCGAAGACCTAAACTACCACCTCGAATCACAACAATGCACCGCACAATAGCAACAGAGAAAAAAACAACACAATGGCACCGCCGCGCGCAAGGAAAAAACAACACCACAGAATACGAAGTTGAATTGCGTAACCTCCATAAAATTGAAGTAAGGCTACACCACAGCACCCCCACAACGCAACGGAGACAGCCAGAATCAAGTTGGAGCACCAAAGCTCATGGAACGTGAAGAAAAAATGAAAGAAATAGGGAGATGTTGGACATTGTTAAATTGCCACCTAATAGCAATACTATCCATGGCAGCTATAGTGCGGCTGCAATCAGGAAACAAATAAAACAAAACAGGACAAAGAACCCACTTTGAACAGATCCGGATTGTCGTCACAGGGTACTCTCCCACAACCGTTTCGCTGCCGTGGCAGAGGAAAAAATCACTGCTGACGCCTTCACCGCACCCCAGTCGCAACACAGAATCAATCACTCGCGCGTCGTTGAAGTCCAACGGTACAAGCCCTCATTAGCACGGCAACTTTTATCGCACGCCCTCAGCAATGGGCTGCAACACTCTACTAATGAAGAACAGCCTTGAGGAAAAACAGAATCCCCCTTAACACAAAATGAGAGATAGACAGGAAAAATGAGGTCCAGGGCATACGTCGCCGGACCCCGATAGCTACTTCTCAGAAAATTGGGATCTCATCGTCATTTCGAGAAGGTCTTTTACTTCCATTTTATTTATTTATTTTTATTTTTATTTTTTTCTTTTCTTCTTCTGTCCTACTTTCTTTCTCTTTACTTTTTCACTTTCTTTTGAATTCCCTCTTCCTTCTACGACATATAATAAATATGTATATATTTTTTCCTTCTTTGACTCTGCTTCTAATATTCATTTATTCATTTATTTTATATATATATATATTTATATATGTATTTTTATTTTTATTTTTATTTTATACAAAGACTATTTCCTTTGGTCCTTCATCTAATATTTGCTAACTAAAAAACATATTCTTTGTAGAAATTTTCTTACTAAATTCTATTTTAGGTTGCATATTTGCTATAAGCCATCTATTTTTTCCTAAATTTTTTACTATTAACTCACAAAATCTATGATTTTAAGCACAATAAGTGCATTTTCTCTGCTAAATATCCAAGTGAGTCAATTCAGTGACTCACACTTTTCATTGATGACATCCATCTAAATCAAGATAAAGAATACAAAATCTTTTATATTAACGAAACAAGATACAAAGAAGATAACATTCTATCTTTTACTCTTGTTTGAAGCTTTTATATATTTGTGGTACTAAATAGATGGAAAACCAACAACTAATAGATTTAATTTAAGAGGTATTATTTGCTAAGTTATTGAATGAGACATTGCGATTGTCTTAACCTTCAAGATAACATAATCGAGATGAAGATCTTTAAGAATAATGTATTTATTTTTTTTGAGTAAATGGTGAAATACAATGAGTTTTATATGGTGACCTTAGAAGAAATTCTCAATGTTTGGTGAATTTATTAGAAGTAAAAACGACTTTTGATGGTGTTTTAAATGTCTTATTTGAAAGAAGTTATGAAAGCCTCAACAATGATTAAATAATAGAATGGTCTTCTTGTCTTGTTATAGAATACTATCAATGGCTAAGAAGACCTATCAACCATCTTTGAAGAGAACAAAGATCAAAATATATGGCAAACACAATTTGTCACATCTTGGATTTCTTCAACATATGATGACTGCTCCTTATGGGACTCATCCATAGAAGGAAGAATAATGTCATGGACATACATATTTATTGTAATAATTATCTATATAATTATGTAGAAATAGGTAAAAATAGATTAATTTTATAATATCTTCTACAAAAGCTTTTCAAAAGCTTTATAAACATAGCATGTTTTTATTTAATTAATAGGCTAAAAACTTGTATTAAAGAAATACAATAAATAAGATATAAGTAAGTAGAAATCAAAATGGTTACACACAAGAAAAGTGTGGAATGAGATGGCTCTCTCTTCCAATATCATTTATTTATAGAAAGAATTTATATCTATTGTAGTTGAAGTTCATCTACAACTATCTTCATCCATTCAACTTAACTCTAGATTCCTCTTAATCTAGCCACTATATCAAATCCTAGCCGCTACATTATTGAAATACCTTCATTCTTTTACTACCCTTTTATCATTTGTAACTTACTAAAAGTATTTGTATCTTATTCTTATTTTAATACTTCTACTTTTTTAATAATCAAAGGCTTTTAAACCTAATGCCTTTGTCAATTTTTTATGCCTATTCTATATTAGTACTTTTATTAACAAATCAGCAAGCATATCTTTCATTGTACAATACTTCATATCAATCACTTCCATTTCAATATTCTTTCTTATGAAGTAATATTGAATGTCAATGTAATTGCTCTTGAGTGATGTTTTGGATTCTTGGCAAAAGCAAGACATTCTTGATTATTACACTTCATTGAAGTTGCTTCTAATTACACAAATCCAATATCTTCTAAAATTTGTCTTAGCCAAATTGCCTCTATTATGCCTTAACTTGCTACCATGTATTTTGCCTCTATTGTGGATCTTGTAATTATTGGTTGTCTTTTGCAATTCCATGAGATTGCTTCCATTTCTAACTATGAGTGTAAATTTCACTTCTCAACCTTAATTACAAGATGGCATCAATTAAGAGTTGCTTGTAATTGGTGGTGTGAAGTGAAGTATGCAATTGGCAAAAAACCAAAGAAGAACAACTACAATACAAGTGGAAGAAATGAAATCAAGTAATTATAACACTCAAAATTAAGTTACAGTTTGTTCACTATATTTTTATCTAATAAAAAATAATAAAATAATAAAAAGTTATATTTTTAGATAATTAATTTTATTATCTTTCTAATGATATAAGAAACATGTAAATCCGAATTATTATGAGTAAGTTATGAGGTTTTAAAAATAAGAAGTAAATAATTGAAAAGTGAAGTAAAAATATTTTACCTCAAGGATAACTTTCTTATAGATCAAGGATTCGAGCCTCACCAAAGCTCACATGTAGTGTATAAGGGTGTCTAAGAAAGGCCAAAAGGTCTTAGTCTTATCCTCCTAACTACCTTCAACGTGCTACAATCCATATGGGACTTGTGCACATCTTTCCTACAAGGACTACATTAGTTGCTAGTCCTCCTATTTTCTACTAGAAGGACCAATATTTTTTCATTTTTGACTTCACCATGGTTTTCAAAAATACCCAAATAGCCTGAAAACCTTGTGCGGCCATCAATTCTTCCTCCATTTCTTCATAAAGGCTCCCAAAGTGATAAAACTCGCTTTTACTAAGATCTTAAAAATTGCTCTAAAAATTCCTAAAAAATACTATATAAATTCTAAATAAATTTTAAAAAATCTTATAATATTTCTATAATACTTATATCCATCTAAGGCTATATTTTTCTACCTTGGTGATTTTTGATAATAATAAAAATAAATTTAAATCTACTATAAATCTTATTTTTTATATCAATAATTAAAATGACATGAAGTTCTTTCTCATGCTTCTTCCAACTACTAATATTTATAGTTTTTATAAATATTACATATAAATAAAGAAAAATATAAATATTGGTTTTAATAAATAATCCTTAATATTCAACAATGAATAAAAATTATTATTGATGTTCTATTATTTACATTTCTAGTCGAATCTGCATCATGATAAACATGTAGTATAATATTATCTCCTTTAAGATACAATTTAAAGTTCAAAGTGCCTTTCAAGTACCTCATAATCATCTTGATGGTTGTCCAATGGATTGGTTCACCGTTTGACATATATTGACTCACAATACTCACCACATATGCAAGATCCATCCTTGTACTAGTTATTGCATATATGAATGACTCTATTGCTACCTTATATGGAACATCTTTTATTTCATCTTCAATTTCAATAAACACCTCATTTGTGAGCTTCATTAATTTAAAATTGGTATTTAAAGGTGTTTTAATAGACTTGCATTCCTCTGTGTTGAATTGTTTCAGTACCTCTTTTATGTATTTGCTTTGGCTCATTATAATGGTCTTCTTATCATGATCTCTTAGAAATTCCACTCCTAAATAATAATGGAACTCTTCCAAATCACTTATTTCATACTTCTTTTCTAACTTTGCTTTCAATCAATCCATCTTCTTCATGGTATTTTTTAATATCATTAAATCATCAATGTAGAAAATGACAATCAATATGACTTCATTTGATTACATCACATATAAAAAATGATTAGTCTCACTCTTTACAAATCCGTCATTTACAAAGAATGTATCAATACATTGGTATGATGCCCTTAGTGATTGTTTTAGTCTATACAAAGATTTTTTCAACTTATAAATAAGGTTTTATTTGCCTTCTTCAAAAAATCCTTGAAGTTGATCCATATAGATGTCTTTTTCTAACTTTTCATTCAAAAAAGCCATCTTCACATCCATTTATTACATCTCAAAGTCTATTGCTCTACTTATTGCTATAATAGTTCTATTAGATGTGAACTTGGCCACAAGAGCAAATGTTTCATTGAAATCAATACCAGTAACTTGTAAATAGCCTTTGGCAAGTAATCTTGCCTTATATTTTACAATATTATCCATTGCATCTCTTTTGGTTGTAAATATCTACTTACAACCAATTGAAGATTGATTTGATAGAAGTTGAGTGAATTTCTATGCTCTATTGCCCATGAGTGATTTGTAAAGCCTTCTTCCTCTTCATAGCATTCGTTGATTTTATTGCATCATACATATTCAATGGATTAGCAAGAAGTGTTATATTGGCATATTCTTCACTTATTTGAGGAAAGATATGGTTGTTCTACCATTCACCATGTAATCTTCTTTCTCTCAAAGGATATTTTGTTCATTTGAAGGAAATTCATCTTATTGCATTCCATGCTCTCTTTCAAGCTTCTTTGCCTTTAAAGCTTATATTTTCATACTTAAAGGTTAATATTCTTCAACATCATCATCATTATAATCTTCAATATTTTCATTGTTCATCCTAGGAATTATAGAGGCCTTCCTCTTCATCTTTGTTGTCTTTTCACCTTCATTCATACTTCCACCATCTTCATTGTCATTATCTTTTTCTTCTTTCTTTGCTGAATTTAAAGATGTGTCGACAAATATATGATTACTCCCATTTGGATACATCTCCAAGTGCTCGCAAATATTTTTATACTCCAAAAATTCTACATCATGACTTTTGATGATCTTTTTAGTATCCAAAACATATTAACTTATATATCTTAGTACCTTCACAATATCCAACAAACATACATTTTGTACCTTTTGCATCAAGTTTGGACTTCATACAATCTAGTATATTTACATAAGTAATATATCCAAAAGTCTTAATATGTGAAACATAAGGCTTTCTTCTACTCCATGCTTCTTTTAGAGTCATTAATGTGACTGCACTTGTATGGCACATATTCTTTATATATACCACATTTATCATGACTTCTATCCAAAACTCATATCTAAGGTATTGAATATGTAGGATACTTTTTGCCATCTCCACAATGGTACAATTTTCTCTTTCACCAATTCTATTTTGTTGTAGAATGTAAGGAATAGAGGTTTATCTTACAATATCTTAAATCTTCAAGAAGTTAT